GAGAGGTCCACACATCGAGCGATCAAACCTTCCTACAGTTAGGATCGTCTCAAACCTCCCGATTGGTCAAACCTTCCTACAGTTAGGACCACAGCTAAAATCTCCTCTCGATTCCTCCAATGAACGAGAGGTCCACGATCAAACCTTCCTACAGTTAGGATCGTCTCAAACCTCCCGATTGGTCAAACATTCCTACAGTTAGGACCACAGCCAAAATCCCCTCTCGATTCCTCCAATGAACGAGAGGTCCACGATCAAACCTTCCTACAGTTAGGGTCGTCTCTTAGGGTCATCTCAAACTCCTGCTTGGTCAAACCTTCCTACAGTTAGGACCAAAACCACAATTCACTCTCGATAAACGAGAAACTCGTCTTTAGTTCGGTAATCAAACCTTCCGACAGTTAGGGTTATCTGAATCTTTTCGATTCTCAGAGTGGAGATCCCGCTCTTAGTTTCACCTTTTCGGATTCTGGGTGGAGATCCCGCCTCGAGTCTCCTTTCCAGCTGAAGATAGAATATAAAATTCTTCTTCTTCAGTGTCGGGAGATAGAATATAAAATTCTTCCTCTCCCATTTCGGGTTCGTCTTTGCCCCAAGAGAAGACACCACCTTTTTTTTTAACTCCCAAAATCCATGCCTCACAGGTACTGGGGTATTTTATCCCGAAGCTTAAGTAGGGATAACTCAGCGCTTAACCTGCGTTGCTGGATGGTTCGTTCCCGTAAAAACGACCGAGTCTACGTATTCAGCATCGTAGCAACAAAAATCCATGCCTTTTATGCATGGGGAATTTTATCCCGAAGCCTAAGCAGGGATAAGTCAACGCCTAACACGCGTTGCCGGTTAGTCTTTGACCGTAAAAAGGACAAAAGACCACATATTCAACATTGTGGCAGGTTGTTATTAATAACACCAAAATCCATGCCTTACACGCATGGGGAATTTCATCCTGAATCCTAAGAAAGGATATGCCGACGCCTAACACGCGTCGCCGGTTTAGTCTTTCGCCGTAGAAAAAGACACCAGAAGACCAGTCTGGGGTATTTTATCCCGAAACCTAAGTAGGGATAAAGTCAACACCTAACACGTGTTGCCGGGTAGCCTATTCCCGTAACAATGGCGAAACCTATGTATTCAACATCATAGCACAAAGTCTAAGAGAATTCACTCTCTTAGCACAACGTTACATGCGAACGGAGTTAGACAATCCGCAGGCTAGCCCGACTCAAACGGTAGTCGGTAAAGGCTAATCAAACCCGTTGAAGGCTGGGGGTTAGCCAAAAACCCCAAAGTCGACGCCTAACACGCGTCGCCGGGTAGTCTATTCCCGTGAGAAAGACGAAGTCTACGTATTCAATATCGTAGCACTAAAAGGGTTAACTCTTTTAGCTTAACGTCACATGCGGAACGGACTTGAACAATCAAACTGTGTATACTCCAGAAAACGTATGAGTATAAACTGTGTCAACGTACGAGGTTCAAAAACCCTAGGGTCAACGCCGGTCAACGCGTAACCTTAGGTCAACGCCAGTCAACGCGTTGTGACAAAAGTCAACGTTCGAGGATTCAAAATCCACACTAATCAACGTTCGACGATTCGAAACCCTAGGGTCAACGCCGATCGACACGTAACCCTAGGTCAACGCCAGTCAACGCATTGCGACAAAAAGCCAACGTTCGAGGATTCAAAATCCACACTAATCAACGTTTGACGATTCGAAACCCTAGGGTCGACGCCGGTCAACGCGTAACCCTAGGTCAACGCCAGTCAACGCGTTACAACCAGAGTCAACGTTTGACGATTCGAAACCCTAAGGGTCAACGCCGGTCAACGCGTAACCCTAGGTCAACGCCAGTCAACTCATTGCAACCAGAGTCAACGTTTGACGATTCGAAACCCTAAGGGTCAACGTCGGTCAACGCGTAACCCTAGGTCAACGCCAGTCAACGCGTTGCAACACAAGAACATTTGACGATTCAAAACCCTAAGGGTCAACGCCGGTCAACGCGTAACCCTAGGTCAACGCTAGTCAACACGTTGCAACCAAAGTCAACGTTTGACGATTCGAAACCCTAAGGGTCAACGCCGGTCGACGCGTAACCCTAGGTCAACGCCAGTCAACGCGTTGCAACACAAGTCAACGTTTGACGATTCAAAACCCTAGGGTCAATGCCGGTCAACGCGTAACCCTAGGTCAACGCCAGTCAACGCGTTACGACAAAAGTCAACGTTTGACGATTCGAAACCCTAGGGTCGATGCCGGTCAACACGTAACCCTAGGTCAACGCCAGTCAACGCATTGCGACAAAAAGTCAACACACGATGATCCGAAACCCTAAGTCAACACAATGTGACGGAGGTAGTTCAAAGTCAACTCAATGACACGAGCCAAACTCAATTCAGCAGCTGTAGACTCGCCGGTCGACGCGTAACCCTAGGTCAACGCCAGTCAACGCGTTGCAACCAGAGTCAACGTTTGACGATTCGAAACCCTAGGGTCGATGCCGGTCAACACGTAACCCTAGGTCAACGCCAGTCAACGCATTGCGACAAAAAGTCAACACACGATGATCCGAAACCCTAAGTCAACACAATGTGACGGAGGTAGTTCAAAGTCAACTCAATGACACGAGCCAAACTCAATTCAGCAGCTGTAGACTCGGAAGAACTTCGGCTATTCGTCAAAGCATCGAATAGACCGAAAATCGAAGGAGCCAAGAGTTGAAGCTAATTACAGGTCCTTACGCCGACTGAAGGCTAGACCAATCATATCCAAAGTATTCCAGCCTCTTCTATAAAAGAAACGAGTCCGGAACGCTTTGGAGGGGGTATCTGTAGGCATCGAAAATTGCCTATAGGTCTCCACGAACGGTTCAGTGTTAAAGAGCGACGATGAACGTCACTATCTAATCCACAGGAGTTCAATTAACGTCGATGAACGATTGAAGTGAATCGATGAACTACGTGAGCTGATAGGATTTCGGAACAACGAAGACCTGGGCCAACCAGGAACCCGGTGATGTTCACAAAAAGGACAACGCCCTTCGAGTCTCGTTCATTCTATAGATAATCCAACCATTGGAGCAGATAGAACTCTTCGTCAAGCTTCCAACGCACTTGGAATCACTCAAATCCGAGTTCGGACGAAGAATCTACGGCGAAAACAATCAAACATACGCAACGGAGCGTCTCAGGCTGAGTTGGGACACCCGGGGTGTCTCGGGAAAGTCGAAACACCCCAGGGGTGTCTAGGAAAAGCCTAGACACCCCAGGGGTGTCTCGGCCAAGCCCGAGACACCCATAGGTGTCTC